GGGCCGGCACTGCCGCTTGCTGGATGGCCGCCGGTGCTGGGCTGCGCAGAGTGCACGGTGCTGAGGCCCTGTGGGTCCTTGGGGTGGTTTTGGTCAATGTTTGAGGCTGGCCAGAGCTGGCTTAGAGCGCGGCTGTGCCTGTGGGCCACGGGCTCCTTCCCAGGTCTCTCTGGCCGGGCCGGCACTGCCGCTTGCTGGATGGCCGCCGGTGCTGGGCTGCGCAGAGTGCACGGTGCTGAGGCCCTGTGGGTCCTTGGGGTGGTTTTGGTCAATGTTTGAGGCTGGCCAGAGCTGGCTTAGAGCGCGGCTGTGCCTGTGGGCCACGGGCTCCTTCCCAGGTCTCTCTGGCCCAGCCGCTTCTGGTCCTTGTGGCTGGGGTCTTGGTGGTTGTCCTGGTAGGACCAGAGCGAACTCGTGTAAACAGCAGAGCTCAAGGGGCCCGCATCGTTTGGGGAGTTACTAATTCCCTTATCCCTGGGGACGTGTCTGGCTTTCAGTGTCTGCCTGTGCTTGGTCCTCAGTGCTTGAATCTTCTACTTCCTTTTGAAACACTGGAATTCCTCTCTGCTCCCCTGCTCTTTCATCATTTCCAGACTTTTCCTTTCCCATGCCCTCTTCAGTGCAGTTCCCCCAAAACCCACCTGGTCCCAAAAGGCAAGCTTCCCTCAGTCTTCAAAACACACGCCCTCGTCCCAGTTTCTTTGGCTCCTGGTACTTGTTCTGGGCTCAGGTACCTTTGGCACGTGTGTAGGTCTCTGTGTCCTTTTCAAGTCTGCCTCCCCACTGCTGCTGTCAACCCAGCCTTGGTGGCAGCCTTCAGATCCTCTCCTGTGACACCCCACAGGTACCCAGTGCCAGCCACCCAAAACAAGCCCACTCTGGTACTCAGATGTCCTGTTACCGCTTCTTCCCTTGTACCTCCTGCCACCCTCTGACAGCGCAGCCTGTCGAAGGGAGCCGTTAGTTCTCCCATGCAGCTGTCTCGGAAGGACTAAGCTGCCATTAAATCCAGGCCTTTGAGCTCCCCGCAGCCTCCATGGTGCTGGTGTTG